AAGGCTCAAGTCAACAACTTCTGTGGATAACCCACTACTATTGTGGACTGCTGGACTGTGTTGGATTGTTTTGCTGAATTCACACACCTATAGTATTTAGATGACAATGGAATACCAGTTTCTGACAGGACTAAACAAAAAAGGGGCTACAAAGGAAGGACCATTTTGTATCTGTATGTGCAGAATAGTTAGGCTAGATATACAGCTACTTTCGCTTAATTCAATGAGAAGAAAGATTTGTACTAACAGTATTTGGGTAGGATATACTGTCTGCATCTTGCACTACAGATAACCATTAAGAAGGTAACAGTGTACAGTGTATTAATTATTGAAATGTCCTATTAATCAGTTTTGAAACTGTCTCATTGATATTTGTTTCTCAATAAAATAAAGTACTGCATGCCTCTCTATTGAATATTAAATAAGATTAGCATGGGCTCTAATAATTTCAAAGTCATAATGAACATTAAAGTATATTTTAAATGTTTGCCAAGAGTGCAATGTAAAAATATTTGCAGTTATAATTACTGTTGATATAAAGTCATAGTTATCACTAAAATGACTATTCTTTATGTAGAAATATTCTAGAAATTTTAGAGAAGTAGAAGTAACTGAAAATTTAAGCCCAAGGTTGTCCTTCAGATACAATGTATGGAACAGTGTGAATTCATCAAGGTGAGGAACTGTGTGTTACTCTCAAGAGCATAGACTTCAGGCCAGACAGCCAGGTAAATTACAGCTGTGGCTTTCATTGAGTGCGTGCCTGGCAGGTTATGTGCCATGCCTGCCTCAGTTCTCCACCTGTAAAGCAAGATGCAGGTGCACCTTTTTTTTTTTTTTTTTTTTTCATTTCATACTTTCTTGAAGATAAAGTTATGCATGAAGTACTTGGAACAGTTCTAGTCACATGGTAAGTCATATAAAGTATTCATTGTTCTTACAGTTACTAAAATCATGTTATATATTTTTGTTTGTTTGGAGGCAGGGTCTCAGTATGTAGTTCAGGCCAGCCTTGAACTCACTTTGTAGCCCAGGCTGGCCTCGAACTCACAGTGACCCTCCTGCCTCAACCTCCTAAGTTTACAGGATTACAGGCATGCACCATGACACCTGCAAATATCTTACTATGTTTAAAAAGATGTTAATTTAGGGACTTACCCTGGTCCATAGTCACATATAAAATGTGCTCCATTGTAAAGAGTGTCAAAGCCAGAAACTCTGGGGCAAAATTGAACTGCACAGCCAACCTTGTAACTGTCAGCCCACACAACCTGTAAAGTCAAAAAAAAAAAAAGAATTTTTTAACACATAAACGAGAAATGATGAATATTTGGGTATACTTAGGTCTTTATACATGTAGCTATATTCACTCCAGTCAGGAAAAGTACTTATTATCAGGTAAATGTTAGGTACTCAAAATTCTGCTAGAGCCGAGACCTGTAATTAGCGGGTGTGTGTGAGGGTGTGTGTGTGTGTGTGTGTGTGTAGGGAGTGAAGCAAAGAACAGATAATTTTTGACAGTTACTAGGATGAAGAAATAAAACAGGTAACTTGAAAGAGGGAGCAAATGGACTGGTTTAATGGAGTGTTGGGGGGCCATTTCTGAAGAAGAGGTTTGGTTTGAACTGAGGTGGGAATGGTGAGGATATGTTCATGAAACTTACACAGTGAAGATAGTCCAGGTGGGATTTTCTTGTTAGAATGTAGAAAGAATGCAAGTGGAGCTGGCGGGAGAGTGGAGGAATAGGTGCTGAGGTTGAAGGTGGAGGAACACACAATGGAGATTCCTGGAGATACTTTATGTGTCCTAAAAGATCCCTGATGTGGCTGTGAAATGAGCAGACCGAGAAAGGCAGAGGAAGACGAGAAGATGAAGGTAATCTTGAGGGCTAGTTCAGTGGTACAAGAGTGCAACATGGTGTCTCACACTTGAGTGATAGCTGCTCAGATTCCTGTCTCAGCCCACAGATGTCGCTGAGTAGATTTGTGTTTGTTTTGGCTGTCAGGTAACAGTTTTGGTTTGGGTTCTGCGAGACACTGAGAACAGAGAATGGGTAAGAGCATGGGTAGAAGTTGGAGTCACGTGTGAACTTCAAGCTGCCTGCTGGATATTCTAGTGAAGACTGACATGGCTGCTAGAGGTAGCCATGCAGCAGAGAGGACAGGGTTAGGCTAGAAATACAAAGCCAGAAGGTACAGGGATAGGGGAGATCCCTCAGGCAAAGTGACAGACAGAAGAGTAAATGAAAGCCTGGGAGTAGGGGAAAACCCTACAAAAACAAGTTAACAAAGCAAATGCAGAAGTAATGGTCAGTGATGCGGAGGGAAATCACGAACAGCGAGTTTCTAGATTCAACAGATCTTTAGAGTTGGTTTAAATCAGTGCTGCTGTGTATTTTAGTACCTTCAGTATATGTTTCCCTTGCTTTCTGAGTGTATTCTACATTTTCTTTTTGCACTGGTCCCCCACACATTATGTGGCTCATCCCTTACAAAAAAGTTTTTCTGTCTTAAATCATTTAAATATCTAGTAGCTAGAGGCAAACCAGCTAAAGATGTGCTTTTTTTTGTTTTTTACAGTGATACCAAATTGCATTTTAAGTTTTTTTTTATGATGACTTTGTGAATTTTGTTGTGACAAGCAAGAGTTGTACTAAGTGTGGGGTTACAAAAGCAAGAGAACTAGCGTCAGCAAGTAGCCTTCACAAAATGTGGGTGGAAGCAGTCCTGACACCATTATACAGCAGTTCTTTACCTTGGTGAAGGATTCTATGGGCATGTGTGGAATGAGACCCTTCCCTAAGGAAGTAGGTTTGACCCAGAGCTGGTCTGAGAGCAAAGAGGTCTTCCAGTAGTGCATGATGCCTGGTATACACACTAGGTAGGGAAGATCCATTTACAGAACTGAAAGATGCCTAGCACAGCTGCAGGAAAGGGTCAGATTTGCTTCAAAAACATATGCTCTCTCTCTCTGGAGGGAGGACAGAGGAAGAAAGAAGGGCGCTGAGCTCGGGTGCAGTCAGAGCTTTCCCAAGGTTTGGAAGTAGACTTTGAGATAGGGAAGTAGTTGGGGAGCTGGTGGGCTGGGCAGTCAACTTTCCCAGCAAGAGTATCTGTAAGAATAAAAACTGAGAGCCTTTCTCCAAGCTCTCAGACCCTTCTTCCTATGATTGAAAACTCTTATGGAAGGAATGTAAGCTTTGTTCACTGCCTACTTGGTGCAAGTCTTGGTCCTGCTTTCAGAAAACAGAGCCTTAATCAATACCTTATCTTTCAACACTCTATTGGGGTACAATGTCAGAGAAATGAGAATGAGGAAAAAGATAGTGAGGTAGGTCAGGAGAGATAGAACTGGGAACAGTCCCTGGTGTTCAGGAGCTAGCCTGAATTTGGGAGAGACATATGGACAAATGGATGTTCCCAGTGCCTGACTGGTGCAGTTCAGAGCAACACAGGATCAGAGAGAGCAAGGCAACTTAGCAGGCAAAGGAAGGGATGTGGATTCACACAGCATGAATCGATTCTTGCAGACAGGGTTTGTTAAAAAAAAAAAGAAGAAGAAAATAATTTGAGGCAAAATTTACAGGGTACAGAAGAACGCACAACGTGTATGCTGATTCTTGTACTTTAGTGGCAAAGAGCTCTGCATGTCAAATATGTGAAGGTCAGAAGGTGGTTCTATTGACAACAGGCTCCCAGCCCATGCTCCTATACAAATTAAGATACGCCACACACACCACTAGAGGGTCAAGACAAGAGGAGGACACTTAACTTTGAGTCACATGTGTAAGATTCAAATCAGACCTGACTGACCCTGCACCCAGAAGCACCCCTGTGCACACGGAGCTCAGCTATCAGCAGGAACTCGGATCAGCTCTCAGTACTGATAGCCAAGCACAGGGAAGGAGATAAGGTAGGACAAGGTGTTCTGCGGGCCCTGGGGACAGCTGGAGACACCCACACTTCAAAGGTTGCCAGTGAGATGCAAGGCTGTCAGGGAACTTTTAACAACAGATTGGGATCTTCCTTCCTAAAGTCCTCTACCAACTCTCCAGCCCAAAAAAAGACACACACTTCTCTTTGTTCAGAGCAAGCGGTCTTATGGTCTCTGCCTGCACCCAGGCACAATAAATTCCATTTCATGTTGCCTTTACACAAGCCTTTATTTTCCCCTTTTTCCCTGTATGTTAAATTATGGTCCTGAGATTTCAGACAAGAGTCTTCCTAAATTAACTGAGCTTACTCTTAAATTCTCTTTGGAGGACTAATACTTTGGACATGAGAAAATTCATTTTCTTTTCTTTCCTTTTATTTATTTATAAATAAATTTATAAATAAACTTACAAATAAATTTATTTATAAATAAATAAGTAAAATAAATAAAAGGACTTAACCTTGAGTCACATGTTATTTCATTTATTTTTGGGGGGTGGGCAGAACCAGGATTTGAACTCAGGCCCTTGCCCTTGCCAGGCAAGTGCTTGTTCTACTGAGCCACCTCCTTGGCCCCATCATTTTCTAAAATGTAGTGCTTTGCATATATATACTACAGCTCAAGGGGCCAGGGAGATGGCTCAGTGGAATAAGTGCTTCCCTGCTGAATGAGCCTAAACGTTTCTCTTAAAAGATAATTATATTCTATCTCTACCTTAGAAGAGGGACCCTAATGGGGAGGATGTCTTGATCTTCCTTGGGTCTGCCACTACTTTTTGGGTGAGTATGGGTTTTAGATCTCTACACTGAAGGTCTTATTCAGCTCTTGCCACTAGCTTATAGGAAAGGTGCTGTTATCCACAGATGAACAAATAGAAAGGTTAAATTGTTTTGCCAATGTCATTTAGCTAGTAAAAGGGAGAGTTCACAGTTAGATACTGGATATGTTACAAGGCCTTAAATAAGTTAATGTGTGTAAATTATTTAAAAAGATCCAGTATTGGATCAGTGCTGTTCACTTCAATAAGCTTCTGTGTATTGATATTAATTCTGTCTATATGGCCAGACTCTTCAAGCTCTACTCCATTTGGTATTAGAATCTTCACTATTTACTTTCTTTTTCTTTTTCTTTTTCTTTTTCTTCATGGTTCTGAGCATCAGACCCAAAGCCTTGCACGTGCTGTGCAAGCGGTCTACCATTGAGTTCCATTTATTATTAAAGTAAGGCTATTATTCCTACTCATATTTTCAGGTGCATTAACTTAGCTATTTATTTGCAGTTTTCAACCTTGAAAAGATGCTTAAAAATAACACAGGCCAGTACTCACCTGGGTGTAATGGCCGCAGACGGCTTTACATCTCCGAGTATTGAAGTCATAGTGTTGAATTTCATTGTACCAGTTTGAGATGGCTGAGAACACTGAAAACAGGGACAGAGACCCTGTCCAAATATTTTCTCCTAGATTATCAAAGTTTGGGTGCAGCTTATGTGACTTCAGCTGTGGGTTGTGATCAAAGTGGCAGTTTTTTGCCCATGTTTTTGCAATTTGGGCTAGTGCTGGATCCCAGGTCTGCAACAACAATATTTAGAAAATATCAAAGTGAAGAACAGAAGCTGTTACTCAGCAATGAAATTGGAGTGAGTAGGTGGGAATTGGAATGCCAGATGAGGTGTGGTGACAAGGACAGAGCGTGAGCTACTGCACGTAGGTCCTGCCTAAATAGTTTGCAAGCACTAAGGATGCTAAGAAGTATGGTCATCCAGTTTTGTGGAATTTAGCCTCTAAGTGAGGAAGGTAGACAAACGTGATCATTGTACATAAGATATGTGTTTCACATTTTTCAACTTATCAGCCACACATCTCTTCCTAGGAACCTCAGGAAGATTGAAAACCAGTTCAAAACCAAAAGAAGAAAAGAAAAAAAAAAAAAAACAACACAAAACAAAACATAAACACAAGAACAAAAGATAACCCAGAATGCTGCAAATATTAACAGGGAAGAAAAATCATACTCAGACACACACAAAAAAGAAAGTATAGTCTACTCATGCCTAGAGGAAAAGAAGTATCCAAAAAAATAGAACTACAAAAGAAAGAAAGAAAGAAAGAAAGAAAGAAAGAAAGAAAGAAAGAAA